TGGTGGATTTTAACTGCAGTTTGGCTCTTTCATTCAGGGAATTCATTCATGCCCCTCGCGACAAACGAGATATTTGATTCGAGGAACAGCTCCAAGCGTGTATTTTTCATGCAATGTTTGATACCGCACGGCGAATGAACATTCCACTTTATTTTTACTTTCTTGTAAGTGGATGTTGGTAAAGTGGGCTGGTATTTTTGAGTTCATTGAAAAAGATCTATAGAATAAGAAAACTGTATTTTGATAGAAGGGCAGAACATTAGAAGATATCATTTCCAGCTGGATGAAGTAAAGCGGTCGTCATGGTGAGATCACTTTGAGTGTCACGAGGGGTCAACCATCTTTGGGACACAGATGGAAGGAAAGAAGGAAAGTTCAGAATCTGGGCAATAAGCCACTTAATAAGTTCTTGCCAGACTAGCAAATTTAACAAAGATTTTCCTTGGGACAAATACTGGATTTTACAGTTTCTAGTCTTTCAAGTTTTTCAAAATGTCGTCTTGAAAAGCTTCTTTCAAGCAACCATATTAAAAAGTATTCTCTAGTATTTCAGTTTGTACAATATAAGCTTCTCTGGAGCCATATAGAAATCCAGGCTGATAGTGAAGTAATTACACATGCATACTTTGATACTAGGGGATCAGGTTGGTCAGAGCAAGCGTAATTTAATATATATATATATATATATATATATATATATATATATATATATATATATATATATATATATATATATATATATATATATATATATATATATTTTTTTTTTTTTTTTTTACAGCAATGCATTTTTACACTGATTTTTGGGCACAGGAAACATTTAACTTGGCTGTGTAAAGAGACCTTAGACAGGTTTTGAGATGCAAGTAAGAAAATATGCACAGTTATAATCTAGCTACTGGGTTTTGCATTGTGAGTCTGTCCAATATATTTATATAGATATAAATATATATATATATATATATATATATATATATATATATATATATATATATATATATATATATATATCTATATATATATATATATATATATATATATATATATATATATAGCAATTAGATATTTCCCCAAATCACACAGCCCTACTCCTTGCTAATTTAGTCTCACTTTGTTTCTTTTTCAGTTATGCCTTGGGTAAATCAGAGGGAGTTGAGTGTTGGTCAGGTAAGCCAGGCGAGAGAAAGGTGCACCTGATGACTGGTGCCAAGCATTTTTACCAGAAGCAGGGCATTTGCTGGCCTCCAGGTGCTCCACTGCAGCTCCTTACAGCTGCTGAGGGCCTATCTGGTTTCACTTTCTCTGGTGACTGTGTTTCACAGAGGGTTACCATTCTCTTTGAAGGTCTGCCCCCTTCTCAGAGGGGGAGCTTTGGTAAAATAACACCAAGTAACATCTGAGTCTTTTGTGTGGCCCCAGCTCTTGAGAAAAAGAAAATTGTGCTGACATGGGAACTAACTCAAAGTATCCATTTGCTAATGGCCTGTGGTACGGTATAGTACGGTTTGGTACACTTTTATGGCCGTTTCCACTGTCAAAAGGCATACTGAACCGAACCGTACTGTACCACTTTTTCTGCACCCTTTCGAAATGGTACCAAACACAAGAAAGGGTACCAAAAGGCAGAGCTACACGCGCAACTGAACGCTATTGGTTTACAGAGATACGTCATTCGCTTACGGAACAAGTCAGAATGAAAAATAAATAAATAAAACACAGCGAGAGATTACAGCGAAATTATATATACATATAATAAGGAGCCATGGTTGACCCAGGCTCAAACAAACCTTGTCGTTGTCTTGATGAACAGCCACAAAGCCATGGAGTAGAGCAGAACCCTGTGCCTCGTAGTTTTTTACAAGCCTCTCTGAAGCGAGACTGTTTTGGCTATCTTGCTTGCACTCGTTGCGCGTCTATATCTGAAATAACAAACTTCTTGAGCTGATGATAATAACGTGCGCTTCATTAATGATGTTTTGAAACCCGATCCTGTAAGACACTAACAAACGCAAGAGTGAAGCGCGGTAAAATGAGAAGTCGGGGGAAACGGAGGACATTATTTCTTCAGCAAACGTGAACAAACTGCCTTGTTTTAATTTTTGTCTTAACCTTTTGGACTTATATGAACTGGGAATGATGGAATGACTCTCTAACAGAGGCTACATGTGCTGCTGAAGATTACACGCACAGATGAGAGGTTTTCACTGACTGTAGGCTATATTTTGTGTTGTTTTGAACCTAAATAAGAACGAAATGTATGATGTGTGTAGTTTTTCTGTAACATATTGGAGACTGTAAGTATCTGTATGTGTTCATATATGATCATTTATTTATTTAATATAATTGCAGACCTTAAAACTTTCTGTCATACACCATGCCCACCAAAAAGGTACCTTTGGTAATGGAACCACAAGCCTGATAAAGGTGACCCGTACCGACCCGAACCGTACCATACTTTATACTGTACCAGTCAGTGGAAACGAGCCATTAACGTTATACTTCTTGTGAGGCTAAAACGAAATCTCAAATAAACAAATCCAGCTAAAATCCACAAACCAGAAATCAAATCAATGAATCAACAGATGTAGTCAGCGCCTCAAGATGAACTTAATGTATAGAACATTTCCTCTTGCATAGCTAGATTATCTTCCCTTAACATGTGATTAGCTGTAAACTCATTTCACAGAGAATGATCTTTGCCTCACTGAGATGTATAAGCAACAGCTGTTTTTCTCATGCACACTGCTGTGTCCACTCTCATGCCCAGAGGACCCCGCATTTCTTTCTATACCTGGCAGTGTACAAGGAAGAGAGGAAAACGGTTAAATCATTGACGGAGTGCTCATTTTCTTGAGGTCAGCAATTTACTGACTACATCCCACTACTTTCCACCCTTTAGCTAGTAGATGACAACCTCTAACTGAAAACAACTAGAGCAGATAAAAGAGCACACGCTGTGAAAAAATGGGATAAGTGGCACTAGAAACTACAATAGAAATAAAGTTCCTGCGATTCAACCTTTCAGCAGAAATACTTCAAATCAAGGAAATTTTGATAAACAGAAACACTACAAAGTTAAACACTTTGTAGTAATTTTTCCACCATGGGGTAGCTGCTCTATACACCAAATACACTTGGAGCTTACAGGGTTTATCTTTTTGTCATTTATACACAGTTGTGAATAGGCATGGGCCGGTACAATATTCTGACAGCATAATAACCTTGGGTAAAAAAATCACTATATTGTGATAACTGCTCTAAAATACTTATTTTAAATGTCTGGGTAAAAACAAGAACCTTTCCCCCTTTGAACACAATATATTTTATTTTGATAAACATTCAAAATATTGTGTAACAGTAAACATGTGAGGCTAAATAATTGAAATGAATTATTGACTTGTGTCTTCAGTTAGTTTCAAAAACACAAATTTCATTACAATTTAAAATGGCATCTTTGGATTTATTTTCAGCTGGAGATACTGTTGTCCTAAAAAACTATAAAACATAAAAGCGTACATAAACAAATCTAACATGTAGATTCGGAATGGTATAGCAGAAAATTTGTGATTTTAAAACCTTAACTTTTACAAACCACGGTATACCTTGTAAATGGTTATCATCCCATGCTAGTTATTGTCTGGTTTAAATTAGATCTTTGAGTAGGGACAGTGATAGCTGATAACTTTATTCTTGTGAAATAAAATTTAATAAATTTACAATTTGGTAAAAACATTACAGACAAACTGATCTCTTTACAGATTATACAAACATATCTTATAACTTTCAAGCTCATCTTCATAAGCAATGGAAGACTATTAAAGTAAGTTGTGTCAGAGAAAAGAAACATTTTGAAAGTGTGATAATAATAAATTACACGTAATATTGTAATTTCTACTTGACTGTCGTCCCTTACTTCACCACAAATTCTGTGACTAGAGTATTCCATTTTTACACCCACTTTAACCTTAATGAACACAACGTAGTGCCTACAAAACAGCCATTCGTAAACACGAGGGAAGAACACCATTGAAAGTGGTATTGGTTGGCATTTGGAGAAGGACGCGTGACAATAACATTTATGACCGGAGAGACTAGCAGGACAATGAACAGACTGGACAGCATGGCCTAGAGCGCACGCGACATGCAAATAAAAAAAACGATCAAACATGCAGGAAATCTTTATACAGCCTGCACTTCCTCCGCAGTCACATCAACAAACTGATGTTTTTAATTTATGAACCCTTTATGATTAGCCTATCAGTTGGTTAATTATCCAGAATGCTAGCCTTTGGGCTCGGATGGGTGGAGACCACCAAGCTGACAACTGTCTCAAATAATATTTATTTTAAGGAGCAGAGATGGGAACATAAAGATGTGGGAAAACAACAACAACTCTCTTCACAAACGTGGCTTGACGAGGGGATGAAATGTATGGGCGTTATGTTTTGAACACACCCAGAATCAAGCCAACATACAACAGCGCTGCGTGAACACGTGACGACTTTCTCCGGTGTTGTTGGGGAGTAAAATGTAGCAGGGTAATATTTATTAAAACGATACACCGATCACTTATTCATCCGCTTGTGACATTCAAGTCAAATAAGCTCGGCATCACACCCAGAAATAACGTTACGTCAACATGGTTGTTCTTTGACTGGAAACGAAGCCAAATGTTGCCAACCAAACTCAGGGAATTCATTCACTGATGATGGAGAGCTATATTTGTGCACGTGGTAGATATTGTCCCATTGTCAAATGACAAAGATGAATTTGACCCCTTTCTTTAACACCCTCCATGCCTTTTTGTCCAGCCAATTTTCTCATAAGGACAAACAATAACAGCAGACAGTATAACTGAGTTACTTTCCTTAGAGTGGGATCTTAGCAATCACAAGCCTGTCCTGACGTAAATCTACTTTAACAAAACCCCGCACAAGTTGGAGCATATGTAAGAGTAACGTATCAAACATAAGAAAGATGAGTTAATAGAAGGCACTTACCCTGACGACGAGATCTTCAATGTAACAAAACAGCCGACAAATATTTTGTAAGAGTAATAAATGTAAATATCCAACGTTCCTGATGGTGAATAGTATCGTTTTTTTTACTACAAAAGTAAAATATTCATGCACCCGATCCAGTTTATTTAGTCTCCTTTTAACACATTTCGTTTTCCTCTCCCATTCTCTCTCCCGGAGAACGGAGATTGCTGAGCGTTCCTCGCGTCCCGTTTCCTGTCCTGCCCAGATTCAGCGCTCGACCAATCAGTCCATCAAAAGGAGGTGCGTGGATCTTTCCTCGCTCCACACGAGCGCACCAGCAGGCCGCTACTGGTGCAAGAAGACAACGGGCAGCACATGTCCACATATTATTACGGGGCTGGAATCTCTTATTTTATTGCTGCTCTAACCACTGACTGTAAAAAAAAGCCCTGACCCGTTTTGAATAAGTTTTCTGATTTATATGTTATTTTTAGTGACGAATGGTAGATTTTTTTCCACGTAAAACAATATGGGTTTCAAGCAAGTTCTTAACAAAGCATGGCTATGAGAAAGTGTAGTAAGGTCTCCCCCTGTCGGAAGAAGACACAAACCTTTTTACCAGTTTTATTATTATTATTATTATTATTATTATTATTATTATTATTATTATTATTATTATTTAAACAACATGAAACTATAACAAACAATATAGTGCCAGGGTGATAGAAGGTACATAATAAAAATACAACAATAAACATTAATTAAGAAACAAAACAAGCAAGTGTGTAAACAATTAAACAAAATTCATACAATTATAGACAAGCAGGACCTTTACAAAAATGTTGAAAAAAGAACACGAATGGACCGTTTTAAAGGCATTCCTATCAGTCTACAAGTCTTTCATTGGTTCAAGGAAACTTATTGACTTTGATGTAATGTATGCTTGCGATTCCGGTTATCATCAGTGCATGGTGAGTACACATCTTCTGTTGTGTACATTGTTAAATTTCAGTGCACTATACCCCACGAGCTAAGTATTATGATATTGTGAAATATATTTAATTAAAGTACTTTAAGGAGATATTAAGTTTTAAAGCCTTTAAAAAAATGTTTTCTGTGTTAGGGTTGGCGTTTTCCAGGTTGATTGTACAGTTTGTGGTCTTATTCACTTAGATTAAGAGTTTAGAACAACACAGTCCTTTACTTGAAGTTTATTGATATCAAAGATAACAAAATATATTTTTTTATTTGTGGCATGTTCTTTAATTTACATACTTTGGTAATATTAATGCTAAATATGTACAATATAAAACTTGATTCTTAACCCCTACTGACCCTTCTGATATATATATATATATATATATATATATATATATATATATATATATATATATATATATATATATATATATATATATATATATATATATATATATAAATTTTATTTTCAGCTTAGTCCCATTATTAATCAGAGGCAACCACAGCGGAATGAACCGACAACTTATCCAACACTTGTTTTATGCAGCAGATGCCCTTCCAGCTGCAACCCATCTTTGGGAATACATACAGACTCATTCACACTCATACACTAAGGACATTTTAGCCTATCCAATTCACCTGTACCGCATGACTTTGGACTGTGGGGGAAACCGAAGCACCCGGAGGAACGCAATATATACTGTTGAAGTCAGAATTATTAGCCCCCCTTTGATTTATTTTTCTATTTTAAATATTTCCCAAATTATGTATAAGCAAGGAAATTTTCACCATATCATTCATTCATTCATTCATTCATTCATTTTCTTTTTGGCTTAGTCCCTTTATTAATCTGGGTTCGCCAGCGGAATGAACCACCAACTTATCCAGCACGTTTTTACGCAGCGGATGCCCTTTCAGCTGCAAACCATTTCTGGGAAACATCCACACACTCATTCACACACACACTCATTCACACACACACATATACACTACGGACAATTTAGCTTATAATTCATCTGTACCGCATGTCTTTGGACAGTGGGGAAACCGGAGCACCCGGAGGAAACCCACGCGAACGCAAGGAGAACATGCAAACTTCACTCCGAACCACCAACTGACCCAGTTGAGGCTCGACCCAGCGACCTTCTTGCTGTGAGGCGACAGCACTACCTAATGCGCCAATGCGTCTGACATTTTTACCATATGTCTGATGTTATTTTTTATTCTGGAGAAAGTCTTATTTGTTTTATTTTGCCTTGAATAAAAGCAGTTATTTTTTTAAAACACATTTTATGGTCAAAATTATTAGCCCCTTTAAGCAATATTTTCAGATTGTCTACAGAACAAACCATCGTTATACAATAACTTGCCTAATTACACTAACTTGCCTAGTTAAACTAATTATTAGCCCCCCTTTGAATTTTTTTTCTTTTTTAAATATTTCCTAAATGATGTTTAATATAGGCTACAGATTGTTGGGCGGGGATTTTTGGTTTTCAGCAGGTGTTAGCTGCATCTGGCAACACTGAGCACATCATTTCTGGAAGCTGATTCCAGCGGCAGGGGGCGTAGTAGCAGAAGCCTGATTCAACCTGCTTTGACTGAACCCTTGGAATTTCTAGTTTATATGATCCTAATGATCTGAGTCATCTGTTGTACATTTGTATTCAGTCAGCATATCTGTAATGTATTGAGGTCCTAGGTCATTTAGTGATTTATAGACAAGTAAAAATACTTTAAAATCTTTTTCTGAATGTAACTGGGAGCCAGTGTAAAGACCTGAGTACAGGTGTGATGTGCTCTGATTTTCTCGTTCTGGTCAGAATCCTGGCAGCAGCGTTCTGGGTAAGCTACAACTGTCTTTTTGAGAAGGCCAGTGAGGAGTTCATAACAATAATCCTGCTGCTTATAAGTCTTCACTGGAAACAAAGCATCTAATTCTTGCAATGTTTTTAAGTTGATATTATGCTGATTTAGTTACTGCTTTGACATGACTATTAAAACACATATCTGAGAATTACACCAAGATTCTTGACCTTATTTTTTGTTGTCTGACCTTTAGAGCCAAGATACACATTCACTTTGAGAACCTAATCTCTGTTCCCAAATGCAGTGACTTCAGGTTTCTCTTTGTTTAACTGAAGAAATTTTGGCCAATTGTTAATTTCTTCAATGTCATGGGTGTCTTCCTCGATCTATGGTCACATACTGACATCGTAACCTCTGCCTTCAAGGTATCTGAACCATTTGAGGACCGTCCCAGTTTTTCAGCCTACCCAAAATATGCTGTGATCGACAGTGTCAAATGCAGAACTGAGATCGAGTAATACCACTGTTAGTTTGGCTGAATCCGTATTTAGGCGGATATCATTAATTATCTTTATAAGAGTGCTCTCTGTACTATGATGTGCTCTGAAACCAGATAGAAAATGGTCTAAACATTCTTTGGAGCTTAAGAATGTGTTAACCTGGTTAAAAACTACTTTTTCAATGATTTTGCCAATAAAAAGGATATTTAAAATTGGCCTGTAATTGCTCAATAGGGTATTATCCAAGTTCCTCTTTTTCAAGAGGCCTTTAACAACTGCAGTCTTAGGTGAGTTTGGAAAAATCCTTGAGAGAAGTGAAACTTCCACTTTTAGGAGAATATCCACTTTTAGGAGATCCGTTTTTAACAGTTAAACACTGTTTTGAAGAATGATGTGGGGAGTGTCAAGAATGCAGGTTGATGTTTCTAATTTACACAATTTCTTCTAAGATTTTATCATCAATTGCCATGAAATCAGACATAAGGTCTGATTTCTTATTTTGTTGTTGAGCTTGTCTGGGGGGGTTGTGAGTCTCTCTACCATTGCAAAGAGGGTGCGAGCATTAATTAGATTGCTGTTTATAAGGTCTGAAATATAGTCTACCTAGCAGTGTTTAGTTCCATATTAAAAGCATGAAGACTGTCTTTATAGATGTTATAATGGACTGCTAGTTTTGTCTTCCTTCCCGTACACTCAGGTTTTCTTTTAATCATCTTTCCCTTTGTTGACCTTGTCCAAGGTTCTTTCTGTCTCCCAGTCATCTTCCTGATTTTAACAGGAGCAATGTCATCTATGACAATCTTAACTTTAGAGTTAAACAAATATAATAGAGACTTAACAGAGTCTGCAGGTATGCTTGCTGCCAGTGATATGGCCTTCATAAACTGCTCACTAGTGTTCTCATTTATGCAAACACTATTCTCATTTATCTCTTTCTGACAGAAACAGTTCTCTTTTCAATGGCTGGAGTGATCAATATATCAAAGAAAATATAGAAATGTTTAGATTAGAGTGTGACATTCTTAACAACAGTTGATGAAATGTAAAATGAAAATACAATGAAAAGTAGTCCTGAGCCCATGTTGTGATATCGCTTATAGATGAATGACCATTTTGACGCAGTGCCGCTAGAGGGATCAGGGATCAATGTAGTTCAGCTTAGGCTTGCGCTTTTGTCCTTTACACACTAAGATTTCTTTAGATTCCTTGAATCTTTTAATTTTGTTATGCATGGTTGAAGGTAAATATCCAAATGTTCTAATATCATTCTTTGGTGAACATTGTTTTTAAACATTTCAATAAATTTTTTTTTTCATGGATTTGTTGGCTAACTGGCAATCCTCTGCCCATCTTTGCTCCTACAGGACTAGAACTTTTTTTTTTTGCATGTTTTTTTTTTCTCTTTACCTGATTCCTAGCGCTAAATTGCTCCTATACTACCTTTTTATTTTAAATGTGCTGCAAGAACCAAAATCGAAATATGTTGATTTTGAAAAAATAAATAAATAAATAAAATCATGAGGATTAAATAATTGTTGTAATGTCTGCAATAATAAAAGTCAAACTAAGCTTGAAATCACTACATTCTTTTTTATTTGCATTTTCCAACTTTTTATGATTTAAGGTTGTATAATTTATAATAATACTTAAAAATATTTACATTTATTCAGTTTCTCTGTACAAGTTCTCTTTATAAACGTCATGAGCAATGTATTTGTGTTAATATGAGATGGAATATAATGAGTTAAATATTCTGATGGTTCAGCTTTTTCTGTTTGGAAGCATTACTTGCCCATGGGAAGTTCTGTAAACATATTTTCATTTTATCACATGAGCGTGGTTCACACAGGAGCTGGATTTAAAGTGTATGTATGGGTCATAAAACTAGGTCCAGTATTACAAAAAAGACCAAAAACCTCATTATTTGCATGCTTCTCATTATATGAGAGGAACCTTGACTGATCAGACTCTTTCTTT